GCCCATCATTAGCGACCTCCGCTGGCCAACCTCCTTCGGAAAACGCTAACGTGGGCCTCCAAGGCCCTTGCATCCTTACCGCGCATCCTTACGATACGGGGCTGACTGTACCCGAGGGAGTCCAGGGTGTCTTTAGCTCGGCGGCGGCGGCAGTCCACCAGGCCTGGGATGCAGCTCGCACCGCTCTTTATAGCGCCCGTTCCGGGGCGCCCTCGGAGCGTCCCGTGGAGCGCCCTGGAGCTGCTGCGGCGCCCGATGCGCCCTCCAGGCCCGCCGGTTCCCAGAGGTTCTTGATACGGTCAACCCGCATAGTACGGATGGGCAACCTTCCCGAGGGTACCCTCTGCATCCTTGCCCCTTCGGCCCATCCTCGGCGACGTTCGCTGGCCAACCTCGTTCGAAGAACGTGGACATGGCCCTCGGAGGCCCCTGCATCCTTACCGCGCATCCTTCTCACACGGGTTGACTGTACATCTTCATCTCTCGATGGTTGGAGGGGGAGTTGCGGCAGTGCTTGGTGCGAGGGACGTCTCGCGCTCCCGCCGCAGCGCTCTTCAGCCAAACGTCTGCGACGGCGTGCACGCATCGGGATGGCGGCACTGAGCTCACCGAAGGCGAACCAAACATTCCAACCCGACCCTCAACCCGGCACGGAATGGTGCCGATCGGTTCCCCGTCCTGCCTCCGTCCTGTCTTCGTCTTGGAGGCGCGGCTGGCCGCGGTGTTGGCGTCGCTCGGACGCGTGCCCTGTTTCTCGGCGAAGACCATAATCGAGGAGCATCCTGGATCATCGAGCAAAAGCACGCACGGGGACCGAGGCATGCACACAGGGTGGACGTCCGAGCGATGGCAAGCGCCTGGGTGGTGGCGGGCGCGGCCGGCGCGCCCTGCGCCGCCGAGGCGGCGGATGTCCTGGAGGCGGCGATGGACGAGGGCGGGTCCAGCCCCGGGCAGGAGGCGGGGAGCGCCGCCACCAGCGTCGGCGTCGCCGTGGCCGCCGCCGTCGGCGTCGTCGATGTCGGCGTCGGCGATGCCGTCGCCGTCGTCGTCTTCGTCGTCGTCGTCGTGGTGGTGGTTGTCGTCGTCGTCGTGGTGGTCGTCGTCGTCATGGTGATCGTCGTCGTCGTCGTCGTCGTCGTGGTCGTCGTCGTCGTCGCCGTCGTCGTCGTCGCCGTGGTGGTGGTGTTGGTGGTGGTTGTGGTGGTGGTCGTCGTCGTCGTCGTCGTGGTAGTCGTTCGGGTCGTGGCCGCCGTCGTCCAGGTCGTCGCCGTGGTCGTCGTGGTCGTGGCCGTCGTCGAGGTCGTCGTCGCCGGAGAGGGAGGAGGGCGGAGGAGAAGGAGGAGGAGGGCGGAGGATGAGGAGGGAAGATGAGGAGGAGGAGGTGGAGGAGGAGGAGGAGGAGGAGGACGAGAAGGAAGAGGAGGAGGAGGAGGAGGAAGAGAAGGAGGAGGAGGAGGAGGAAGAGAAGGAGGAGGAGAGGAGTGAGGGGGGAGGGGGAGGAGGAGGAGGAGGAGAGGGAGGGAGGAGGAGGGAGGCAGGCGGAGGGAGGAGGGAGCAGGAGGGAGCAGGGAGGCAGGCGGTCGGCGCGAGCTGCCCGCCCCCGGCTGGGAGGCGGCCCTGGTGGAGAAGCTGGGCGAGGTGACGCAGGCGCGGCGCGGCCCGCAGGGGCGGGCGCCCTCGAGGAGGAGGGGGGGCCTCCTGCCGCACCCTCCCCGCCCCCCCGAGGCCCTCGCTCGGGCCACCTGGGGCGGGGAGGGAGGGAGGAGGGCTGAGGACAGAGGAGGTGCGAATCTCTCTCCCTCACTCTCTCTTTCCCTCCCTCTTTCTCTCTCTCTCTCTTTCTCTCTCTCCTCTGTCTCTCTCTCTCTCTCTCCCTCTCTCATTCTCTCTCTCTCTCTCTCTCTCTCCCTATCTCTGTGTCTTCTCTCTCTCGCTCTCTTTCTTTTTTGGTTTCTCTCTCTCTCTCTCTCTGTTTCTTTATCTATCTCCTCTGTCTCTCTCTCTCTCTCTCTAGTCCTCTCTTTATGTTCAGTTTCCTTTATTTTCATGTTTGTTTTCTCTCTCTCTCTCTGTATCTCTTTGTCCCTTTCTCTTTCCATTCGTTTGTTCGCTCTCTCTCTCTCTCTCTGTCTGTCTCTGTCTGTCTCCCTCTCCTCTCTCCTCTTCCCTTCCACCCTCCTCCCCACCTGTGAAAAGTACGTAGCACCGCGCAGTCGAGGACAAGAGTGAGTGGGCGGCGAGGACGTCGGCAGTCTGCGAGGCTCTGAAGAAGCCAGGCGCAGGCGCCTAACTCTTACAAATTATGCTGCAACGAGCCCGCCGGCAGGCGCCGATTTTCGTTGAAGCAATGTGGGTGAGTCGCGTGGTGGGTCGCGTGTGGGTCGCGGGTGGGTCGCGGGCTGGTCGTGCGGTGGGTCGCGGGTGGGTCGCGGGGTGGATCGCGGATGGGTCGTGGGGTGTGTCGCGGGTTTGTCGCGGGCTGTGTCGCGGGTGAGTCGCGGGTGGGTCGCGGGTAAGTCGCGGGCCGGGTCGCGGGGGGGACGATGACAACAACAACAATAACAACAACAGCAGCAACAACAGCAGCAACAACAGCATCAACACCAGCAACAGCAACACCGCCACCACCACCAACAACAACACCCGCCGCCGCAGCAACAACAGCAACAACTAAAACAGCTAGAACAACAGCACCAACACCCAACAACACCAACAGCAACACGTTGTGTGACATAACTAAAGCAACAACACCAACAGCAACAACAACAAGACCAACAACAACAGCAACAATAACAACAACACTTACAACACCAACAACGATACCAAAGCAACACATGCAACAACGCTTACAGCACTCAGAAACAAAAACAGCAACAGCAACAGCAGCAGCACACACAACAGCAGTCCGCACCGTGGGACCTCACTTCAGGCAGTTGTTGACGGAGGTTTCGTCTCCTCGGTATTGGTATCTGTCTTATCTTCTGATTTGACTTCTTCTGAATCAGCAGCTGCGATGTCGAGCCAATGAATACAACGAGGTAGATGAGGGATGTTTGTTCTCAGGTCTATGCCGCAGTGGTCACGCTGCCAAGTCTTCGAAGCGGCGCTTCTTGGCACGGCGTGCCTCTGCCTCGCCTTGCGAGGCCCACGATCTCCCTTCTTACGAGTCGTGGTTAGAAGGTATATATATACAAAGGTGGCCAGTGTGGCCAGTGACTTAAAGCGAGCGGGGCTCGCGCGCTAGCTCGACCGGCGTGCCCGCCAGCCGTTGAGCTTGAGCCATCACAGCTACAGATGGCAAGCGTGGGCGTTACGTGACCTGCGCCGTGCAACTAATATATCATACAACATGTATCAAGATGAGTTGAAGCGCAGCTACCTTCAGAGTGCACGTTGTGCACTCTTTTGGAGCTTCTGTCGCAGCGGCGGTCTCTCTCCCAGCGGCGGCTGAAGACGCACAAGGCCTCCAGCTGTTGGCACAAGGCCTCCAACACTCGGAATCAGAGAACCGGGCGGTCCAGAGTGTAGGAATATTCCTTCTATAACTATACAATGCGGCCCGGTACAAGTCGGACATATAATCGGGCATTGTACATCAAGGGCTATGTGACGTGCCACTGTTCTCCTCGGATGCTACTGCAACGTGTCATGTAGACGGGGGTTTAAAGTCAGAATGTATTATTTTTTCACACACGCGCCCAGGGACGCCGTGCGCCCCCCTTCCTCTGATGTGCACACACATTCTCTTTGATGTTGTAGTGGTGCTGCCATATTTCCACATGTTTCAATATCTCTCTCTCTCTCTCTCCCTGGAGGGGCCCGGGAGGGGGCCCCCGACGCGTCATGGGAGGACCGCGGCGCCAGGAACGCTTCCAGACGACCCAAGACAGCCCCAACACAGATAAAAAGGGCCGCGAGAAGCTTCCAAGATGCCTACTGTCGCTGAACTATCGTTCCCACGCGCCCAAAATGGCCTCTGGATGGCCCAGAAAGCTTCAACATGGCCCAAGGGGTCTCCAAGAGCACTGCGGAAAGGGCCCCAAGAAACCGAAATCATTGATTTTCCAAAGGTGATTGGTGCATTCCATCGTTTCTGCCTGTTCCGCTTCCCGCGACGCTCCGAGACGGCCCAGGGCCGCCCCCACACGGCCCAAGAAAGCCCCAACACACATGAACGGGCCGCAAGAGGTCCCCAATAATCCCCGAAACGCGGGCAGATCGCTCGAACACGCCCAAGATGGCTTCGAGATGGCCCATAAGGCTTCCAACACTGTTCAAATGGTTTCCAAGAACAGTCCCACAAGAGCCTGGAGAAGCCCGAATCTAAGATGTTCCATGGTTTTTGGTGCATTCCAGCATTTCTGCTTGCTCAGCTTCCCGACGCTCCAAGACGGTCCCAGACGCCCAAATATCGCCCCAACAGGCCCCCCTATGGCGCCGAGACGGCTCAGGGACGCCCAAGGCAGCCCCCAACACAGCTGAAAAGGGCCGCGAGAGGCTTCCAAGAGGGCTACAGTCTCCGAAACATCGTTCTAACGCGCCCCAGATGGCCTCCAGACGGCCCAAAGCTTCCAAGAGCACTCCCACAAGGGCTCTTTGGTTTTTGGTGCATTTCAGCGATTCTGCCTGTTCCGCTTCCCGACGCTCCAAGACGGTCCTTGATACTCAAATGATCATCGCCCCAACAGGCCCCGACGAGGGCGCCGAGTCGCCTTGGCCGCCCCCAGACGGCCCAAGACAGCCCCAACACACATGACAAGGGCTGCAAGAGGCATCCAAGAGGGCTCGAAACGCAAACATATCGCTTGAACACGGCCCAAGGGGCCTCCAAGAACATTCCTCCAAGGGCCCCAAGAAGCCAAAAGCAATGATCTGCTTTCGGCTTTTGATGGGTTCTAGCATTTCTGCCTGTTCAGCTTCCCGACGCTCCACGACGGTCCCGGACACCCAACTATCGCCCCAACAGGCTCCAACGAGGGCGCCGAGACGGCCCAGGGACGCCCTGAGGCGGGGCCCAGGACGGAGCCTTCGGACGGGGGGCCCCGGGGGCCCTGCCGTTGCGCCAGGGGCTCTTTGAAGTCGCCCGAATACGGCCCCGAATCGCCAGAAAATGCCGCAGCCATTTTGGCTCAGTCAAGTCTGACTTAAGTTTCAAATTGCTTAGTTCAAGAGAACATTCTGCCCTTTCCGACCTGCTGATCGCGCGTTGTTGGCTGGACCTCCAGAGGATCAATGACATCCCAGGAGACGAAGCCCAAATATTATCCTACGCCCCTGCGTCCGACGAGATGAAGCGCATTCCCCTGGGCGATACGTTGAGGGCCGTGTCGTGAGCGGTGGCATTAAGGATGTGGTCTCAGTTGACATCCTGGGGCCCTTCAAGTCGTCATGCTGTGGCATTGACGGTCCCAAAGTTTCTTTCGAGGCCACCGACTTTGACGTCTACAAGCCAGACGGCACGACGACCAAGCTCCTCGGTTTCGCCAGCCCCGGGCCGCCCGTTGGTGCTTTGCATGGGAGGTGTGTGCACCCGACCCGCCACTCGCCACGGCGCGCGCGAGATGAGCTTGCTCGCTGCTGAGTTCCGCGACAAGGCTGACTTTCTGCTCGTGGGTTGCACGGAGAACCACACTGGCGATGGCACCCCCTTCGGCATAAACAACGGGTTTTCTGGCGCAGATGGCGAGAACAACGGTCGCTGGAGCATCCCCCAGCCGAAAACGCTGCAGGAGCGCATCGACTCGGTGGCGGGTCTTTTGACGATGATTTTTCATATACCTTGGGTCGTGGACGGGATGGGCAATGAGGTGGGGGATACCTACAGGGCATATCCATGTCGCAACTACGTGGTCAAGGACGGGGTCGTGGTTTTCGAAGGTGGGCATGGTTCGCTGGCGCAGGTCACAGATCACATCAAGGCTTGCTAGCGTGCCGTGTCATGCAGATGCCAACCTTTTGGCTGTTGTATCGACCCCTCGGCTCCGAACGTTTTTACAGCTCATTCGGCATGCTGTCCAAATCCAGTCGATCGCCCCCCATGTTGTTGACCAGCCCGGTTGTAACCCAACTTGCCTATAATGGCAGCGGTCTAAAGATAGTTCTGCAGAAGCTACCTTAGGATGGCTGGAGTGTGCATCGCTGTTTGCTGGCATCCGATGGCCAGTAACCTTGACGATTCTAGGGTGGCGTCCCGATGTGTGCCATCTTGACGGGCACTGTACTTATAAGTTATGAAGCGGACCGTGTGGCATTATGTTTCAAACATCCCTTGGCTTTTACCCATGAATGAAGCAGGCGTTCTCTGATGGTGCAGTTGCCTGTCACGAGGGCGCCTTGCCGACGCATGGGCTCCGACACAAAGGATTGCGAGTGACCATGTGCTTCAATAGCAAAACAAGAAAATGCGTTTCCAGACAACGAAATCGACCAATGACGGCCCGAGATCACCCCAGAATTAGCCCCGGACTGTCCAAGAGGCCTCCAAGAGGCCCCAGAGGCCTCCAAGATGCCTTCAAGGAGCCCCAGGAGGCACACATATGTTATTTTCCTTATGGTTTGAAGGGTTTTCGGGTTCTCGCCGTTTCAGTTTCCCGATGCTCCACGTCGGCCCCAGAGGCCCCAATGTCCGCTCCAAGACAGCCCCAGAGGCCTCGAAGACGGCCACAAGACAGCCCAAAGAGGGCCCCAAGACGGCGCCAGAGGCGCCCAAGGCGGCCCGAGAGGGCCCTAAGACGGCCTCCAAGAGGGAGCCAAGGGGTAACACGAACCGAAAATGCGGGCCTTCCACCCCGAGAGGCTCTCAGGAGGTCCCGAGAAGCCCCCGACAGGACCCAAGCGGCCCCGAGAAGCGACCCAGGGGGCCGAAGAGGCTCCAAGAGGCTCCCCAAGAAGGCCTCAAGAGGCAAACATCATTGTCTTGCCATTAGTTGTTTAATTGATTTTCGAGGTTGTAGCCTTTGGGCGTCCCGACGCTCCAAGACGGCCCAAAAGGCCTCCAAAACCGTTCCAAGGTAGCCCGAGAGGCCTCCAAGATGGTCCCAAGACAGCCCACTAGGGCCCCAAGACGAAGACGGCCCGCGAGGGCCCCGAGATGGCCCCAAGAGAGACCCAAGAAGGGTAAGACGAATTGAAAATTCGAGCCTTCCACCCCGAGAGGCTCTCAGGAAGGCCCCCAACAGGATCCAAGATGCCCTCAAGCAGCTCCCCAGAGGGCCGAAGAGGTCCCAAGAGGCCTCCCAGGAAGGCCCCAAGAGGCAAACATCATTGTTTCCCCATCATTTTTTTGATTGATTTTTGAATTTTCAGCGTTGTGGCATCTTTACGCTCCAAGACGGCCAGAGAGGCCCCCAAGACCGCTCCAAGAAAGCCGACGAGGCTTCCAAGAGGGCCCCAAGACGGCCCACGAGGGCCCCAAGACGGTGCCTGCGGCGCCCAAGACGGCCCAGACGGCCCAACAGGGCCCCAAGACGGCCCCAAGAGAGGCCCAAGAAGGGGAACGCGAACCCATCAGCAGAGCTTTCCGCCAAAAGAGGCCCACAGGAGGCCCCAAGAGTCCCCAAGTGGTCCGACGAGGCCCCCGAAAGCGCGCCAAGAGACCCCAAAAGGCCCCCAGGAGAGGTACAAGGGTCCCCAAGATAGCCGAAAAATGCCCTCGATGCATCAAAACTGCCTCTACGAGGCCCCTGGAAGGCTTCCGGATTGCCTCAATGTGGCGCCAGGTGGCCTCAAGTCGGGCCTCCACGCAGCCAAGACGGCCAACGACGGCCTCAGATTACAGAAATCACCTTCCGACTGCTTGGAAAACCCCGACGATGCCCCCCAACGGGCCCCAAGAAGCCCCAAGACGCCCCCGCAAGAAGCACCCAAGAGGTGCTTCCAACAGCCACTTGAGGAAGCACGGGGCACCCCCCCAGAAGCCCCTCAGATGCCCCCACGAAGACCGGAGAGGTTCCCAAGAGGCCCTCAGAGGGCACGACTATGTCCCGCGCCTGTGCTTGATAGCGCTGTCCAAGATCATCCAGCCCCCCCTGGCCTGGGCTAGAACCTGAGCACGCACGAAGCGCGCGCGATGGTTCTAGTTTATCTACGTATTTATGCGTAGGACCCCGCCGTTGCGGATATGAGTGAGGCGGTGGTGGGGACGTCGGCAGTCTGCGAGGCTCTGAAGAAGCCCGCCGCAGGCGTCCAACGCTTACAAGGTTCGTTCAAGCAATGTGGGTGGGTCGCGGGTGCGTCACGTGTGGGTCGCGGGTGGGTCGCGGGTGGGTCACGGGCCGGTCGTGGGGTGGGTCGGGGGTGGGTCGCGGCTGGGTCGCGGGGTGGATCGCGGATGGGTCGCGGGTGAGTCGCGGATGGGTCGCGGGTGGGTCGTTGGTTGGTCGCGGGTGAGTCGCCAGTGGGTCGCGGGTGGGTCGCGGGCGGGTTGCGGGGTGGGTCGCGGGTGGGTCGTTGGTTGGTCGCGGGTGAGTCGCCAGTGGGTCGCGGGTGGGTCGCGGGCGGGTTGCGGGGTGGGTCGCGGGCCAGGTCGCGGGTGGGACGACGACAGCAAACAACAACAACAACAACAACAACAACAACAACAATCACTTTACCCGAACGCTCAGTGTTCTCACCAGTGCCAGGGTTTTCATGCGACGCCAGCCAATACCCCCACTTTGTGGGGGGGCAGTGCAAGCTCTACCAAATATCCACACGACTCTTCGCCACCACCCACACCCAGCTTCCCGCCCTATGACGTTCGGACACTTCACTTCGTGGCCTGCGGACGACCGTGGCTACTACACTGGCGTGGAGTACACACCCACAGAAGTTGTTAAGCCTACGTTCGTACACCCACAGAAGTTGTTAAGCCTTGTTAACCCACAGAAGTTGTTAAGCCTTCCACAGAACATCTGTTGCATATGATGCATATGGTACATGATACACATGATACACATGATACGTACTCACAAGATAGTTGATCACATCTTTAGGGCAAATTCCTGAGGGATGTGGGAATACACAAGAGAGAGAGGATATGGTTGTCCCGATGGTTGTCTCGATGGTTGTCCCGATGGTTGTCCTGATGGTTGTGGTTGTCCCGATCGTTGTCCCGATGATTGTCCCGATGGTTGTCCTGATGGTTGTGCTTGTCCCGATCGTTGTCCCGATGACTGTGTGATTGTTGATTGTTCCCGATGGTTGTTGGAGATTTCGGCGTGCGCGCGCGAAGAAAAAACGAATGTGTCCCGCATGGTATTATTTGACAGGGATGATGGCCCTGGCAGGTGCGCAACCGTTGTCGCAGAAGTTCGAAAAAGTTGCTCGCAAAAGCCCGTTTGACAGAAATGTTTAAAAAGTGTTGGGTTTCCTACGAATCCGCAAGAGCGCGCGGGATGAGATTTTGACATTTTTTGTTGAAAAACCATTGGTTTTTTGATGTTTTTATGTTAAAATCGCTGCGAACACTAAGGTTTTGGAAGGATTTCGTCTTGCGCGCGCGAATGTCCACTTTACCTTATTTTTTGCAAGGGATTCTTGAAATTTGATTATATTAGAACAAGAAATGTCATTTTCTATTGTTTTTTGCAAGGGAAAGCGGATTACAACAAAACAACCGGATCCTGTACACACCCTCTTTTCTGAGGCTTCCTCACGAAATGATGAAAATGTAGCTGCGGCCTAGGCGGCGCAGGGGGGGCGCGCACCAGGGGGCCCAACAATAATTATTCTTTAGAATAAATAATGTTCAACAACAACAACAACAACGACAACGACAACGACAACGACAACAACAACGACAACGACAACAACAGCAGCAGCAACAGCAACAGCAACAGCAACAACAACAACTATCCGCACCCCGGAATTTCACTTCAGCCACGCGCCCAGGGAGAGTGCATGACCGTTCGCCCCCCTCTTTCTTATACATATATATATATATATGTATTATGTATTCCCTGGGCGCGTGGCAGAATTGAGGTTCTGCGGTGCGGAGTGTTATTGCTATTGGTGCTGATGTTGCTACTAATGATGATGCGGCTGTGGTTGTTGTTGTTGTTGTTGTTTGTGGTGGTGGTGATTTTATTGTTATTGGTATCGGTGCTGTTGTTGGTGCTGTTGTGCTTGTTGCCGCATTGTTGTTGTTGTTGTTGTTGTTGCTGTTGCTGTCGGTGTTGGTGTTGCTGTTGTAAGTGTGCTGTTGATGGTATTGTTTTTGTTGTTGATGTGGATGTTGTTGTGGTTGGTGTTCTTGGTATTGTTGATGCTGGTTGTGGTTTGTTTGTTTTGTTATTGTGAGTGTTATCATTGTTGTTATTGACGTTGTTGGTGGTTTTTCTTGTTGTTGGTGATGTTGTTGTTGATGTTGTTGTTGATTTTGTTTGGTGGTTTGTGTTTGGCGTTTGTTGTTTGTTCGTTGTTGTTTGTTGTTTGTTGTCGTCGTCCCCCCCGCGACCCGGATCGCGACCCACTGGCGACTCACCCGCGAGCCACTGGCGACCCAAACGCGAACCACCCGCGACCAATCCGCGACCCCCCCGCGACCCACTCCGCGACTCACCCACATTGCTTTAACGAAAAATCGGCGCCTGCGGCGGGCTCGTTGTACGTAGCAACCCGCCGGTGTTGATAAGAGTGAGGGGGCGGTGGGGACGTCGGTAGCTTGCGAGGCTCTGACAGCCGCAGGCTTCTATCTTTTACACATTATGCCACGAGCCCGCCGCAGGTGTTCCTTTTTCTTCGTTTCGTTAAAGCAATGCGGGTGGGTCGCAAGTGGATCGTGGGTGCGTCGCGGGTGGGTCGCGGGCCAGGTCGCGGGCCAGGTCGCAGGTGTGTCGTGGGTGGGTCTCAGGTGGGTCGCGGTTGGTTCGCGGGTGGGTCGCGGTTGGGTCGCGGGTGGGTCGCGGGTTTGTCGCGGGGGGTCGAGGGGTGGGTCGTGGGTGGGTCGCGCGTGGATCGCGGGTGGGTCGCGGGCGGGTTGCGGGGTGGGTTGCGGGTGGGTTGCGGGTGGGTCGTCCGCACCGCGGAATTTGATTTCAGCCTCGCGCCCATGGACAATGAATGACCGTTCGGCCCTCTTCCTCTGATAGTTTGTAAAGAAACTAAGCGCTTGCAAGGGGCTTCTTCAGAGCCTCCGAGACTGCCGACATCCCCGCCGCCCCCTCACTCATATCCGCGATTGCGGGGTGCCACGTATATATATATATATATATATAGATGTGAACATGTATGTGTATATATACACATATATAGATATATGGATGCATGTTTGTAATGCAATGTAATGGAATGTAATGTATTGTAATGTAATGTAGTGTAATGTAATGTAATGGGATGTAATGTAGTGGAATGTAATGTAATGTACTGTAATGTAATGTAATCTAATGTAATGTAATGTAAGGTAATGTAATATAGTAGAATGGATTGTAATGC